GCTCGAATCATTCTCTGTCGAACGATGTAGAATACATCTATTTCAACCCTTTTTCTAGCAAAATCCTGCCAAAAATTCTCTATGGCAAAAACTGAAAATTGTCTCCCTCCTAACTCAGCCAGTATGAATCTGGCAGTTGGGAAATTTCTATAGGATACTCGGCAAAGACAGGGGAACAAAACGTACCATTCAAATTTTTTTTATGAACACTTTCATTTTTTTTATCGATTGTACCAGAAAGTTACGTTTCTCTCATATATTAAGTGATTATGTGTGTGTGTACTTTCTTTTTAGAAAGAAATTAATAGCAGAAGAACTTCATTGCTGATATCTGCCTAGTACACGCTTTTTTTCAGAATATGTACCCTGTGAGTATATAACACACACGCATTAGAATTTTATTAAAAACAACGTATATCTTTCTCTATAGATTATAGAAAACGACAATCTACTTAGACTTCAAACTGTTTGAACGTGGTTTTCCACATTATTTGTCATTATAGAGCAATCCCAGTGTCAATTGTGAATTTTAATGTAAATCATTTCTTCTGCGTTTTGATCAGGCGGTGCTATTTATTATCCCTTTTCAGAAAGAAAAATGCACATACATAGAGAATATAACTATGGCAAACCTTGACGAACATAGATGATAGTATAATCTGGTTTATACTTTTTTAGATCATGCTCAAAATGTCAACACGAATCGTGTCTCGAAAATCGCCTCCAGTAAGTCTCATAGACAGTTATATATTATCAATAGGAGAAAGAATATGAGCGAAGAGTTCCCGTTCATAGAACATTGCTTTTTTTTATATATCTTTTAGCATAAACTACCAAAATTTAATGAACAAGATAGTGGTAGATTAGATCAATTACAAAACTTTTTGAAAAATGCTAAAGCTCATCGATGGCTTTTTTATGAATGGTTTTATTCTGATATTGATTGGTAAGAAGAAGATAACTAAAAAACATCATTAATTTTAAGTGGTATTAGTGTGAGAGAGAGAAAGAGAGAGAGAGAGAGAGAGAGATGAACAGCATGTTCGATCAATATGTTTATTCTTCCGAACACTAAGATATCCTTTACGGTAAAAAAGAATCTTGACAGATAATATCATACTAAACGTGCTGTCAGAAAAAAAGTAAAACTTTGAATGGAAGTGGAACTGAATGGATAATGTTTTATACCGAGTGAAATTAGTTTACATCAACATAAGTTTATGTGACATATTTTGTGTTCGTACGAATAAAATAAACAAATTTAACAAGAATTTTAATTGATTATAAAGTAGAAAATGTTTTATTTTTAGAATATCACTCGCTATTTTTCGAACTAGTTTTCTATAATGAGCTAAAGGCGTGTGGATTTACGGAAATGAATATTATTATAATCTACTTGTTCGCAACACGTGTTCGACACAGGCATTATTTTATTTTTTATTTTATTTTTTCTATTTACAAAGTATTATAAGTAGCTTATAACATATTACTTTCTAAAATATTAACATTGGATAAATCTAATAATCTTTTTTCTGTCCACGGTATAGCATAGAAAACTATAATAAAAAGAAAAGTCAGCCAGAGTAATTCGATTTCATGTTCTCATATAATCATTTTCTTATTTGAGGTAAAAAAATGTTTTTCTTCTTTTCCATTACCTTTTATTTCCTATTAATGATGAAATACCGAAAGATCTGAAAATATGACTTGATAACAGCTGCACTATTATGTAGATTAACAAAACAAAGAGAAAGCGAAAAAATTATTCATTCTTTTTTTTTTGTTGTTTTTTTTATGTAGAATAATTGATGATTGTATCTGCATCTACAATACACCGGTTTTCAAATATTTATTCTCATATGTTTTAAAAAATATATGATTTTTAATGAAAACACTTAAAATTCATTTTTTGTATGAATTTGACAATGATTATTAAATATAAAAGATATGTGATTTTTAATAATGGTAGGTACATATTGGAAATCGTTAAAATGTATGTCTCTGAATGGTTAATGATTGTTAATAATCATTGATCACACTTATCATAGCATAATATATATTAAGGTCATTTTTTTACTTTTCTTTCTCTAACATCGTTTGTTCAAGGTACAGTATGCAAAATAAGTGCGTAAGAAAAATGACTATCCTAGCTAATATTTAACCTACGTTGATGAGTATCTTAATAAAATAATAAAAGCAAAAATAATATATAGTAAGATTTTTACGTATATACGTACAAATGTTTTGTCTATGTGATAACCTTGACATTATTATTATTTATTTGTCTATTATACAAATTTAGTATTGTCTCAAGTTCTTTCTTTTTTCTATCATAAAAAGTAAACTGTTTTTTCGTCTATAACAGGTTTCTTTTCGGACATGAATTGAAAAGAACACGGAAATAACGTTTTAGGTTACCAAAACGAAAGTTTTTTATCACGAAATCATTGATTAGATCACGAGAAAAATTTACTTAACCTTATGCTAAGATAAACATACTCTAGATCCCGCAATACTTTTGAGTGCATTAACTATCTTCATTCTCTATCTAATTTATACTAGTTTTCTAGTAAATGTCCAGCTCCATGCATTTAACAAAGAAATGAAACTAGACAGAGAAAGATTGGAACTTGTGTTACTGATCTTTTGGTAAAAGTTGATGCGATACTGTTTTCAGTATCAATTAAAGAAATTACTAACCAATTTTTGCGAGTTATTCCAGTATTACAGCATAACGTTTAGCAAACATGTGTATGCTAATATAAAGAAGTGCATAGATTGTCAAATGATGTCATATGTTTCCTTGGTGACGACATTTTTTAGTTAGTAAATATGTTGATATTCTTTTCAAACTCTGACTACACTTGGACCAACTAGATCGCTACATCATTGCATGATGTGTACAATTTTCGAGATCTAAACCATGTTTTCTGGTCATAGAGATGAATCAAGATATATTACATACTTTTTCCCATGATCTTTTCATAGGCATAATAGATTTAGTTTTCGTAACCAAGATCTTTTGCATGTTTTTATCGAAATTTTTTCAACCAGAATCAACAGCATGTTATTTCCGAACATATGCACAGAAAAGGAAAAATAGCGTGTTTTATACATTTTACACTATATAACAGAAAAAACGTTAGAAAAAAAAAGAAAAGAAATAATTTTTGCACACTTCTATTGTCTCAAGTTTTTCTTTTTCCATCGTAAAAAGCAATGTAGTTTTTCGAATTTATTTAACTTAATTTCAAGGTTAAACATAAAATGAAGGCATGATGTGAATAAAATTGTTTATGTTTTACAAGGATTTGAAACTGAGTGTTTAATTTTTTATATGAAATTATTAAATTTTTTTCTTATTCTATGAATGTTTAAAAGAAGAGACAAAAAAAACAAAAAAAATATTTACCAAGCATTCCATTGGTAGTAAATTATGAACATATCTAAGTCAGAGAAAATTTTCTCCTTCCTGTTTTCTATCATTCCCATTGATAATATAAAAAAAACTTTTTTTTTATGTTTGAACACATGCAGAGGTTAATGTTTCGTCATTGTTAAGATTTAATTTACAAAATTGAGATTGTTTTGTTGGTATGGTATTATTTTCTTAAATATGTACGAGAAGAGAAAAGGAGAGAAAGAGTGTGTGTATGTGTGTGTGTGTGTGTTCATAATTTATATGTGGTGCCACTATGAACGTTAATAGACCATAAAATATCGATTCAACTTATTTTTGATTTATTCATAACTACTAAGAGATACTTCTGATTTAGGTGTTTACTTGTTGCCGGAAATGAATTTGAAATCTATTTGAAACAATGTTTTCCTAATTTAACAACTAGTCAATTAACGAGACGTCAATGGAATATTATTCGACGTATACTTGGTAAACCACGAAGGTAATTAATTATTCATTTTGAATAAATTAAGAACATCTGACTTTATACATAAAATGTTTGTTCTTTTAATTTGTTTTAGATTGTCAAATGCATTTTTGCAAGGAGAAATTGATTCATTACATAGCCAAAGACAATTAATTCGTTTATTACAATATCAAGATTGCTTAGATAAAATTGAACATGATTTTAGAGATTTACCAAAATATATCGCTCAACCATTAACTGTTGGTACAAAAGTAATAGGTAATTATTGTTTATTTTAATTCTTTAAAGTTAAATAATATATTTTAAAAAGATAATTTAAAAAAATTTTTGATTTCTAGAAAGATGTTTATTTCTGTAGTCTCGCTATCTTCACTATGTCATTCTTAGTGACTTCTATTTTATAGCTCGTTTACGTCAACCATTGAATGGTTTATATTCTGGACAGATAGCGGAAATTAATGGCGATAGTATTTACCGTATTTTATTTGATGATCCAGAAATTGGTTTTCAGTCAGTAGTTGATTTTGAAGTTAGCGTATGTATGTTGTTTATTTCTTCTTTTTCTTTGTTTCTCATTGTAGAAAATTTGTTTTATTTCAGTCACAAAAACCATTGCAAACTATACTTTTATCAGATAAACTTAAAAATACAAAATTTGAAATTGATTTACATCATTCAAATGATGAAAATATTTCAGGATCAAGTACAGTATGTTTCTTTTCTCTAGATTTGTTGTCAAAATTTGTTTTTAAAAAAATAATTGATGCTGCATTCTATTGTCTTCTAGGAAGAACAATCTGATAGTGACGAATGTACGGATAACGAAGGCAGTGATGGTGAAAATATTCAGTTTCCCTCACATTTATTATATCGAATTGTGAGTGATATCTATACCAAAATAAAAATAATATATTATTTATCAGAAATTTTTCTAGGTTCGTGTATCTTGTTTACTATGTGCTAAACGTGATTTAATTGTACGTTTACGTAATATGCATGATCGAGCCGAATATGAGGTATATATGTGAATGAATCTTATACGAGTATAAAACTGATTCTTCATTGTTTCACATTGTGTTCTAGAAAAGTAAATGTATCAAGTCGGGAATTGTTTTCTGCGAAGAATATGCTCAATTAATCCAAACATTAGCAGTGATCAATGAACGTTTAGGAATATTTATCGAAGATATCAATATTATATGTCGAACTGTAAATTGTTCTATATTTATCTATTGTATTATTATACTTTGGTTTATACATCATTTTAGATTGTATCAGAAGATCAAATGCCGGTGTTTAATGATGCTAGAGCTATATGTGAACGATCTGAACAACAAGCAAAAGAATTAATACAAAAAACTAATGTAAATATATGTTAGCGTCCAAACTCTGATTCAGTTCAAACTGAGATTGGCTTAGACCAATCTGGGATTGGACGTACAAGTAAGTAGTCCAATCTCAAATTGACCTAAAACATTCCAGGCCAATCCTAGACTAGACTATATTAGAGTTTGGACGCCCACATATATATTACAGATTATTGGTATAATACAAAACGGGCAAAATCATATGCATATAGAGCTGTTCAAGAGCAATATTGTGCTTCATATTTTTCCAAAAATAGTTTCGTTTTTGTGTGTTTTTAGGTGAACTACAATGTTAATAATAGTTCAAATCTTGATTTGATTTCACGACTAGTGGGTTTAGTTGTACAAATGCGGGTAAGTTGCTTTTGAGAAGAAAAAAGTATATTAGAAGTTCTTTGATAGGCTTAAAAAACTAATTTTTCTGAAATATGAATATTTCAGTAAAATGTCACGATCAAAAAGGATTCCACTGGTACTAGTTTTTAGGGGCTTAGACGAAAAATGTTTCGCGTTAATCATTAACATAAAATTTCAAACCTTCGGCTCTGTACTGCCGGTGCGATAACATTTTTCTACTGAATGGAGCTCTCTTGCATTCTCTAGTGTCTAATCTGAGTCAGAATTAGGGTACTTTAACTGATTCACTTTGACCACTATTGTGGCAACATCGCGAGAACGGTGATAGAACCAAAGACAGTTTTATCACCATACTTACGAGGAATGATCCCCAACTGATAAATCGCTTTTTCAACGAAACCGACTGGACTATAGGTAGTCGACGATGCTGATTCCGAATACCACCATGAATGCTGCCGCTAGGCCTTCAAAGACCGG